CCCCGTCGCCGACAAGTGCCGAAGCCCTGCTCGCCTCGGTGGCGAGCCTGCCCGACAGCAGCACGGAGGAGTTCACCCGCTGGATGCTCTCGGCAGTACTTCACGTGGCGGAGGGGCTAGAGGCGAGGGTGGTGCGAGAGTTGCTGTCCGAGCGCGCGCAGGAGGCCCACGCTGCGCGCCAAGAGGCGGAGGATTTCCTGCTGGGTACGGTGGACCTCATGCTCAACTCGCCAGACGCCTTCGAGACGGCTCTGACGTCCCACGAGCTACGTGAATCACCCATGGGCAATCGCCCGAGTGATGTAGAACCCCCACCCATGACTGTAGCCGGCGTTGCCAAGTCTGTACACAGAGCTGGGTGGGAACAGGCCATGAGGGAAGACACTTGGGCACGGGGATGTTTTCCTTCGTAGACGGCGCGCCAGAGGGGCGCAGGCCTGTGAGCTAAAAGTGGTGTTTTAGTTGGAAAACCAACAAGGAAGGGAAGATAGACACGTTCAAAGCGCGTCTGGTTGCTAGGGGGTTTTCGCAAATCCCGAACGTCGATTATTTCCATTCGTCTTCCCCTTGCCCCTCATCCGCATCCATTAAGCTGATGCTTGCGGTAGCGAACGAGAAGGGCATGAACCTCAATCACTGGGATGTGAAGCGTACACACACGACACGCTAGACCAGGAGGTTTTTCTGAGGCTCCCCTCTGGGCGCGGGGACAAATCGCATAACATCGTTATGGCTGAGCGTGGGATTTACGGTCTGAAGCAAAGCGGTAGGCAGTGGGGGTACCACGCTGCTGATACGCTAGTCGAGAACGGGTTCGAGCAATGCAAGGCGGACCCGTGTGTTTTCCGCAAGATGGTAGACGAAGTCGTGGTGATGATTATCGTGATTTATGTGGANTGGGATTTACGGTCTGAAGCAAAGCGGTAGGCAGTGGGGGTACCACGCTGCTGATACGCTAGTCGAGAACGGGTTCGAGCAGTGCAAGGCGGACCCGTGTGTTTTCCGCAAGATGGTAGACGAAGTCATGGTGAGGATTATCGTGATCTACGTGAATGACGTTTTGGTGGCTGGGTCTGACGAGGATTGCGAGGAGTTGTTGTTGGTATGTCCGTACTTGGGAGGAGAAGACACGCTTTAACTCTCTCTGATTAGGCACCCGCGGGAGCGAGGAAAGGAAGGGAAGAAGTGGCCCTCCCGAATTCGGGGAAGGGGGCCCACATATAGTAGCCTTTTTCAGGCATACGCATGCTCCTGTCTACGTACCCCCCCGTGCTGCTAGCAGATCTACCATACTCGTATCCAGACACACGAACACCCTCCCCGGTTCGTCAAGCTTTTGACAAACCATCAGTGGGGCATGGATACTCCAGATCTACTTAAGTTATTCATACAACAACGGGTGCAAGGGAAAAACTCGGCCATCCGGATCAAAAACCCTTGCCTACAAACTCAAAACATCAAAGAAACCGTCGCTATCACGAAGGATTCCAACGGCCGCACTATCAGGGCAGGACCAAGGCAGGACAGATTGAACAGCCCACGCTGATTACACACCCGAAGCAATTGGTCAAAAACCCTAAGATTCCGCCGCGGGTGACGCCCCTGCCTAACGCTTCCTGCGTGACATACCATGGTCCGAGACGCGCCCAGTGCTAGA